CAATTTAGGAAATATTGAGAGTTCCATCAGGCTAGTTTGATGGACGATCATTAACAATATTGATATTTAAATCCTTTTTTTTTTGTTTTTGTCACGACATTGCATTCCTTCTCTACATTCAACACATGTTTAATCAAGATGAATTGTGCGTAATTTTTTCCAAGTGTATCTTAAGCTTCACCTTAAATAAACCTGCGTGACATATTTAAAAAATAGAGAAAAACAGAATTCATAATAAACGCCAAAAAACAACAACGGCAAAACTAATTTTGCTGAAGATTCGGTTTCATACAGCCTGGTAACGGACGATAGGGTAAATGCAAGATTCCATCAAAATAACCTAGCAATTGGTTTAATAAATCGGGTTTGATTTAATCAATATTATATCCGATGTTGCGTTGTCTCTTTAAAAAGCGCATACGTTTCTCATCATGTTGAGACATCAAATACATCTTCGAATGAACATTTCCTGAGATATTTGTGTCTCTTTAGTTAATAATTCTCGTCATTTTCGTGTAAAAATAAGAATTTTATATACAATTTCACAGTCTGTTTGTAATATTGAATCTATGTAAATGTAAATGTATGTGAAACATAAAGATGCAGTTAGTTGTATACATGTTAATTAAGTTTTAAAGCATTTATCTCGTACACCATGTTTTTATAAAGCAAATTAAGTATTTACTTTTATTACGTTATTCAACATGAAGATTGGCAAATGAGATGTTATATAACGAAATTTAATGTAGAAAATGTATTTTTTATGTTATATTTTAGAACTTTCTTATGATAGAATTGTTAGGTTTATGGTAGATCCATACAATAATTAGAATTTGAAACAGTCAATTAAACATGATAAACTTAAAATAATTATAGCTCGGTTATTTCAGACAAGTAGAACAATCATTAAACATAAATATATTTTCGAGCAATTTACTTTTCGGTACATCCTTTTTATTTAGATTTATAATTGTATTATATTACAATTAAACCTTATTGTGCAACACAGGATCTGGAAAAAGGCACAGAAATGGAACATAAGCGATGTACTACATTTGTCAATGCAGCAAATTAACAAGAAGAAACCGCATTCTTCAGCTTGTTTAACTTCAAATTAAGATATAATTTTGCTGAAGTAATTAGAACCTTAATAAAATCCCTACCAGCAAGCAAAATGTTAACTGCGATGCGATGGCATATAGCGATTCACTTGTGGGTCATTGATTTTCGCTATATGTACATATAGAAAAAAACTTAAAACACTTCCTTTTAAATACCCAAAAGGCCTAGAACTTAGATATTTTGTATGAAATATTGTTTTGTAAACCTCTAGCAAGATTGTTCAAATTATAGCCCTGGGGTCAAAATTGCCCCGCCCTGGGGTGAAAATTGCCCCCGCCCTGGGGGTCATTGATTTCAATATATACATATAGTAAAAAACAAAAAAATCTTATTATCTGAAGGTACAAGGCTTAGAGCTTTAATATTTATTAAATAATATCATCAAAAGGTACTCTTTCAAAGTTGTTCAAATCTTGCCTCTTGTGTCAAAATTAGCCCCGCCCCTGGGAGCCATAGGTTTATCTTATATGTATATAGTTAAAAATTAAAAAAATCATCTTCTCTAAATTTACAAAGGATAGAGTTAAGATATTTTGCATGAAACATGGTGTAGTGAACCTCTAGCAAGATTGTTCAAATTATAGCCTTGGGGTCAAAATTGGTTCCGCCCCGGGGATCATTGATTTTCATCATGTACATATAGTGAAAAAAAATTGTCTGAAGGTTCAAGGTGTTTGATATATTATATCATCTATAGGTCCTCTACCAAAGTTATTCAAATGTCAAAAATTGGCCCTGCCCGGGGGCAGTGATTCTCATTATGTACACGTAGTAAAAACAGAAAATAAAACAAATGTTTTCTGAAAGGGAGAAAGCTATAGCTTAGATATTTGACTTGAAATGTTGTTTGGTGAATCTGTATCAAGATTGTTATTAAACCCTTGGGTCAAAATTATGCCTTGCCCAAGGGGACAGTGACCTACTTTCTTGTCCTTTGATGTACAGCAATGACATTTTGACCATGTGCACAGTTTTAGTTGTAAAATTGAACTTTGACCTAGATTTTGATGATGTGACCTACTTTCTTGTCCTTTGATGTACAGCTATGAAATTTTAACCATGCGGTGACAAAGCATTTTTCTCAAATGCAATTTTGTTCATTCTAAATGAATATTGCATTCTATATCTGGCTGTATAGTGTTATTATTCATCCTTTTGTACAATTATAGGGTCTTTGTAATCAACTGTTTCAAATTGATAGTTCTTCTATTATTACAAAGCCCGTCGATTTCATTCACAATACTTTTTTTTTCTTATGATTATTCAAGCTTAACTGGTATTTTTGTGAGACTAAAGAAAAGAAATTTTATTTTAAAAAGAATGTTTAAGGAAGGGAAAGCATTATTACCAATGAAGGATGTACTAAAACCATCTAACGAAGTGGGGCGTCCGTGGCCAAGTGGTTAAGGTCGTTGACTTCAAACCACTTGCCCCTCACCGCTGTGGGTTCGAATCCCGACAGGGACTTAGGATTCTTTCATGTGAGGAAGCTATCCAGCTAGCTTACGGAACGTCGGTGGTTCTACTCAGGTGCCCGTTCGTGTCTGAAATAATGCACGGAAGGGCACCTGAGGTCTTCCTCCACCAGTAAAGCTGGAACGTCGCGATATGACCTATACTGTGCCGATGTGATGTAAAACCCAAACAAACAAACAAACAAACAATCTAACGAAGTGATAAAGACAAGAATATGAGTGTTTTGTTATTTCTATATAACTTTTTACATATTAGTAAAAGATGATTAACAGTCATACAAATATTCATACTGATTATAGATACATCTCTATTTAGCCGTATTCTACCCCATGGTTGGTCTGTCTGTGCAATACCATGTGTATTATTTTATCCATTAACTTTTTATCCCTTAAGAATTATTACTTGTACTTTGGATGTCTGAAGGTATTTCTTTTTTTTTCTTGAAAGTTTGTACTTTAGTTATATAGAAATGGACATCCCTAGATAAAATGTTTTGCATATGCCTCTGTTGTATGTTGTATCAGCAGTATTAACAAGAATATAGCATTATGTCTAGACGCATGGAAAACCTTAATCATGATGCGATGAAAATCTTTCATTTTTTGTAGCTTGCTTCTTATGTATGGAAGGTGACTGAGTAAGATGCTGATATCTTTTAAATATACAATGTACATATATCTTAATTGCTTTATAATTATATACTAATATCTGCATAAGTATAATTTATGAATGCATTATCACTGGAAGAAACCAATGTATTTTATGCGTCACCACATCTTAGCTTTAAAAATATCACATTTACATCTTTCAAAAAAGGGCTCAATCAAACCAAGTCTGCTCTTTCACAGCTGCTGAAGGATCGCCCCTTCTCTAGATCTTTGCAAGCAAATATAAAAATACTTCTTATTTCTCTAACAATGAACCTTATTACACGTAAGCGTACGGTTAAGAAAAAAGTGAGAAATCAATTACTTTTAAAAGCCCGAGTTTAAAGCAAATAAGGCTTTTGAAATGAATGAACTTTCTTGTACAGAAGTGCAAACCTGTGATTTATAATTATTACGTTAATCTGTTGGGTTGGCAGCTGTAAAACGTTGCCTCGTACTTCACTTCAGTGATGTTATATTTTTCTGGTCCTTCGGGATCATTGATGCCAGCACTATTAAATGTAGAGAATTGAGTACCGCTCAAGCCGACGCTAGGGGGCGTGACGGATGTTGCACGTATTCATTATCCCTCATGTACAGACTTAGTCACACTAAGTCTGTAATTCTCTTGTAATTTTGTTGTGATTAATGCTTGCGAGGGGTCACTTAGTTTCCAGATATTTTAACAGCATATATGATGCTTATCACACGAAGAAAGCAGAGTTAAATGTCAATTAATTTGTCATGAAAGTGAACAGACATTATAGTTGGCCTCACATACAAAATAGTTCATTATTCAACTTGGACAAAACGCAAAAGACTAATTCAACAACTTAATCAACCAGGTTTGTACATGCAAGCTACCCAAAGAAGTTAGTGACTGATAAATATTTGCTAATAAATATTATTTACAATCATTAATTCAAAACAACATGATAAATCAACAAAAAATGCATTGGTGGTTACCTGAACCGCGCAACATGAATGTTAACTTAAATGTTGTGTTTCAGAAAATAAAATTAGCTGATTGTCAAATCACAAGCGGTACATCTTCATTGTGAAAAAAACGAGCTTACTTTAAACCAAAATAGGTGGTTCCATTATAAAAGTATATTTTACTTTAAACTTATGAAAAATTACATTCCAAAACCAAAAAAAAAAAAAAAAAAAACAGAACAAAACATATGAACACATCTGCGGATATTTCTAAATTCAAAGTTTAACCATTTTCGAGTATAAATGTTGAATTCTTCTGAAGCCGATGCTAGGGGGCTCGGGCGGTAACTTGCACTTTTCAGTAACGTCCATGAAAAGGCGCAATCAAACCGAGCCTGAAACATTTTCTTTTCAATTTTGCTGTGTTGTGCTTTCTTCACGAATTCGTTTATGCTACTAAGAAAAAGACTAAATTAAAAGTTTATTGAATTGATGACTGAATTGTTTGAAAATTAAATAAGTTTCCAATCCAAAAGTATAAGATATAAACACTTATGTCCTATCATTTGTTTTCGCAAAACAATTACCAAATTAAATTTACATACATGTTAGTGTAAGTGAAGTAATGTAAATGTGCAATCTTTATGTTTGCAATGCAAGAAAGGAAAATACTTTCTACACATTAAGATAAATCAAGTATGGTATAATGCAAAAATATCGCGGACAAAAACAATTATTGACCTGTTTCAGTATTCATTCTAAATGTACAAAGCAAATTTATATAAGAATATCTAAAAGAAACATAAACCTTTTACCAACCTTTTCTGTCCATTATTTCCCTTAAAAATCCAAAGTGAAATTATCGCTATTAGCGTACAACGTTTTAAAACATTCATCATCGAACACAGTCTTTCTAACACAATAATTATGCAATAAGTATTATTACAATACGCTGAATTTCACCTGTAAATAAAGTTGACAAAATTAATGAAATTTTATCAGGTTTTGCAACTTCTATTTGTACGACGTTTTAGGAAAACACGAAAAATACATTTTGTATTATAGAAATGGTTAAAGTTTACTGTGATAATTGCAGATAAAGCAATACCAAGAGGAAATATTGCACTGAAAATAAATCCAATGTCTTTATGGTTAGCTTATTAGCATCAGCCTGTTGTCATTTCATCTACACTTTTCACTTTCTCTATAAAACCTGTCTCATTTCTAGCGTATTCAATTTGAATAAATTCTAGCTACGTTATGTTATATTCTTTTTTTCTCATTGTATTGTCATATTTTAATAGAAAACATGAAATGATTCGGTTGATTTTCTTTATCTGATAGTATTATAAAATAAAACCATAAGAAAAGCACAGTAAAGCAGACAAACACATCTATTTCTGCAAATTTCGTTTCAAATTCTCATTGATAGTGATAATTTCGTTGATTTATCGGATAAAATTTGGACAAGATTCTGTTAATTATGCAACCACATGCTTTCTAAGTGTTATTGGTGCATGTTTACATCGTTTTGAAAATTTATAAGATAAATGAATTATTTGTGTTAGACGCGTCTTCTGTATTTACGCAAGGCTATAATTTTAACGTTTAATTTCTTCAATGTAGCAGAGCAAACGTATTTGCAATGCATGAAAAAAATTATTATTTATAGGAAAATGAGGCTTTAACTTATTTCAACAAAAAACGTATTTTGTCCTATTCCATGTAGCCTTATTTGAGAAGGAAATGTATATGTTTCTTCTGTTATTCGTGCCTTTATGTAGAGACAGATTCTAACTGACATTTTTTGGAGATATGTGCTTTTTGCCGAAATAACACTTGTCTCTGTACAAGAATGTAAAAATGAGATATAGTTTTACAGTCTATAAGTTCGACTGTCTATCGCTTTGGTGTTAGGCTTTTATTCATGTTTATATAAAGTTGTTCTTCGCCTCGTAACATCTCGTGACATTTAGATTAAAATATAGGTCCAATTATATAGTGTGTACAAAGGCGACATTTTGCCCAAATGTGTTCCCATATTATTACTAATTTCATCATGCTGTTGAACAGTTTCAAATATTTTATTGAAAAAAATAAAACAAACAAAAAACTACATTTTTGTTTGGAAACGTTTTAAAACCATCGAGCCCGTTCACATTTAATCTTTAAATATTGATGCATAAAAACTAATACATTTGTTTGTTAGAAAATGAAATTTTATGCCAATAGAGGAACATGTAATGAATTAATTTGAATTGTAAATTTAAGCAAACATAAATAATTGATGTTTTTGTTATTTTATGAATCGTTGTTATGTTTATTTCAAACATTTAGAACAATACTTGCTGACAACAAAAATTAGAACTGGTACATGCAACAGCATTGTAATATATTAAACCTCTCTATTCTTCTTTTAAATACTTTAAAATACATGAAATAACCTTGAAATAATATTTTGCACCACACTAAAAATTAAAAAATATTATAGCATACGTAGGGATTCGCCTCATTTTGATACAGAATTAACAATGTACCAGTTGCAACCTTAACTATATTGACTGAAGATTTATAATATTTTGGCTTAATTTGTCCTAAAAGATCTTGTATATTCCGCAATTTTGTTTTGTGCCCAGGTATGTATATAATTACATTTAAGTTTTTAATATACATGTACATGTATTGCGAATAGTTTTTAAGGAAAAGGATTTTTTAATCAAAAATATGAGTATATAAGAATTTGATTGATTATATCAGTATTAAGATTTTTTGTGTGTTTATTTTCTCTTTGTAATACATAACTGATTTTATTTATATATTTTGTTGTTTGATATAAATGAGCAATTTTAATATTAAACGAAAATGTATCCTCCACATTTAGACCAATCAAAAATAGCATAAAAAGAATATCGTTGACAAAAACCTATTCAGTTTTTCCCCGTTTTATTAATGACTCTCAATGTAAAACGCGAATATGATATTAAGATAAAAAAAAATAAATAAAAAAAAAATGTTGAGCAACCTTTTCTGTCCATTATTTCCCTTAAAAATCCAAAGTAAAATTATCGTAATTAACGTACAATATTTGGCATCATTCATCGCCAAACAGAGTATTTTTCTAAATTAATACAGTTATTATTCGGTTATTTTTATTATATAATGCGTGATAGATAAAGTTTATGACACTAAAAATATCATTTAATGATAACTTTAGACTATGTTAGAGGAAACAAAACATATTTTCTGTATGGTAAAAGGTTTGTGGTTTACTCTGATAATTACCGATAAAGCAGTACATGTACCAAGTGGTAATATTGCCTTGAAATAAATACAATTTCATTTTAATAATACTGGATAAGTAGCATCAGTCTATTATCATTCCTCTCCGTTTTTTCGTTCCGCTACGCAAACATTACTAAAAAATTTATTGGCCAATTGAATTCGAATTTCAACTAAACATCTCATGTTATTGTGCGGTGGGAAGATTGGGTTCTGTTCTCCTTAACAGATATTATTATATAACAATACTATCAATAATACATAGAAAAGCGACCAAATGTAAAATATCTTTTCTGATTTTTTGTTTCAAATTCGCAGTTCCGGTGATTGTTTCGTTGGTGAGTTATTTACTTGATATAATATGAACAAGATTATGTTATTAATGCAATCACGTGCTTTCTAAGGGTTTCTGTACATGTTTACAATGACATTTTAATATTAAGAGAAATGAAATATTTGTTTTGTACACGTTTTCCGTTGTATTAATGCAAGGCTGTAATATTACCATTTAGTATTTTCCATGAGATATTGTAAATCAAACACATTTGAAATGCACGAAACTTTATTATTAAGAAGAAACTTAGCTTCAACCTTTGTTCAACAATAAAATCTGTTTATTTTGTGCGATTCAATGTAGCCTTTATTTGAGAAGGAAGTGTGTCTGTTAGTTTTATTATTCATGTTTTTATGTAGAGACAGACATGAAGATATTTTTTAACTCATTATGATTTTTTACAGCCTGTCAGTTCGACTGACTATCACTCACCATGTGCTACACTTTCGAGAAACGCCTTCATTCGTGTTTAACTTACACAAAGTTACTCTTCTCAAAAGATAGGTCAAATTATATAGTGTGTACAAAGGCGACATATAAGCCATATTTATTTTCATATTGTAACTTATTTTATTTTGCTGTCTATCAGTCGGAAATATTTCATAGAACATAAAACAAACAAACAAAAAATTGTATTAAGGAAGCTTTAAAACCCACTAGCCCGGTCTCATTTCACCTTTAAATATTGTTGCACATAAGAATTGCTATAAAACAAAAACATTTATTTGTTTATTACAAAATGTATTTTTTGCAATAAGAAAAACACATATAATTATTTTGAATTGTAAATTTAAGCAGTTGCTCATTGATGTTTTGTTATTTTCTGAATTGTTGTTATGTTTATTACAAACATATAGAACTAGACTTGCAGAGAATGATATCTTAAACTGGTACATGTAACAACATTGTATAAAATTAAACTTCTCTTTTTTGTTTAAAAAACTTAAAAAAAATACTTTGAAAGGCAATTTTGCAATACACTTTTAAATTTGGAAATATTAAAGTATAACTAAATATTCTT